AAAGATCCTTCCAATGAACGTTGGAGCTTAGGTAGCGACAAGCTACTACGCCTTGATGACCGTATTTATGTTCCGAATCACGGCGACCTTCGCCTTCAAGTCCTTCGTTATTTCCATGATCATCCACTCTCCGGCCATTTCGGCCAGAACCGCACTCTAGAAGCTGTACGTCGTCAATACACCTGGCCCAAGGTCAGAGACTTCGTCCGTGACTATGTCACCTCTTGCACTGTTTGTGGTCGCAACAAACCTCGCCGTCATCGGCCTTACGGGTTGTTGAAGCCTCTGCCAGTTCCGGTCCGACCATGGGATTCCATCTCCATGGACTTCATTGAGCAACTGCCAATGTCGAATGGCTATACAGCCATCCTCGTCGTTGTGGATCGATCTTCCAAGCAAGTTATTTTCATCCCTACTTTCGACACCATTACGTCCGAACAATTAGCTGAGCTTTTTGTTATTCACGTCTTCTCTAAACATGGTGTTCCTAATCATGTCACTTCTGATCGTGGTTCCGAATTTGTTTCGGCGTTCTTCCGGGCTCTCGGAAAAGCGCTCTCCATGGAACTTCATTATACCTCTGGATATCATCCGGAAGCCAATGGGCAGACCGAGCGTGTCAATCAGACTCTCGAACAGTACATCAGGATCTATTGTTCCTACCAACAAGATGACTGGTCGCCTTTACTTCCGATCGCCGAGTTTGCCTATAACAACGCTCCCAATGCTTCCACTGGTATTACTCCATTCTTTGCTAACAAAGGATACCACCCAAATATCACCGTTCGGCCCGAGGTCGACATGAAGTCTGATCTAGCCAGAGACTTCGTCGTCAATCTCGATGAACTCCACGTCTTCCTTCGAGAGGAAATCCTTTTAGCTCAGTCTCGTTACAAGGAACAAGCTGACAGGAAAAGAATCTCGCACCCGGAGTTCCCGATCAGCTCCGAAGTATTCGTTCTTGCTAAGCACATTCGTTCTACTCGTCCTACTGAAAAATTCTCAGAAAAATATCTTGGCCCTTTCAAGGTCATCAGTCGACCTGGTACTTTGTCTTATGAGCTCAAGCTCCCAGACTATCTTCGCCGAATTCACCCGGTATTCCACGTCTCACAGCTGGAGCCGGTTACGCCGAACCCGTTCCCGAATCATACTCAATCTCCTCCACCTCCAATTGAAGTTGATGGTGAAGAGGAGTACAACATTGCCGAAATCCTCGACTCCAAGCTGGACAGAAGGTATAAACATTGTCCTCTACGTTATTACATTCGGTGGGCCGGTTACGAAGGTACTGATGATGAGTTCTCTTGGGTTGCTGCTGATGAATTACATGCTGACGAACTTGTACCGGCGTTCCACGCCCGATACCCTCACAAACCTGGACCTTGATCACAAAAAATCATTTTATTCCTTTCCCCGTTTCCGCCGCGCTCCGCCGAAGTTTACTTCGTGTGTTTAGAGGGTAAACACGATGATAGTAAATTGAGTGTTTATCTCTCTCTCTTATTTGCTTATTATAGTTCCTTTAATCACAGTTTTCATTTAGCTTCCATTTACACTTACACTACTCATACTAAACTAATTTACTTCTTACGCCGCTTCGCGGCCCGTTCGCTTCTCAATCTCAAAAAAATTGCGTCGATATTTTTTTATATACAAGTCCAAGAAACAAAACGATACAACGAGGGCAGGGTTACAAGAAGATTACAAGAAGAGGGCCGAAGGGCCGATGTCCGATGTCCGTAGATACTCTACTCCGCCCTTTCCTTCCCCTTCTCCGACTGCGCCTTAGCCGGCGCCGGTTCCTCCTCCACCATCTCTTCTTCATCTCCTTCCCCATCTTCCTCCATTCCCATTTCCTCCACCTCTTTCTCTCTCTCGCGATCTTCTTCTTCATCGCTGTCCATTACCCTTCTCCGCTTCTTCGGCAATTCCGACGGTCCGGCCTGCGGCATTTCCGGGGGTGTTCTCCTCCTCCTCGCGGCATCTGTTACTAGCCAATCCAGCTTCCGGTTCATGTGTCGATGGTAGGTGTTGGCTTTCACCTGCCCATCCCGAAGTTGTCGGTTGTCCGCTAGTAGTTGAGCCACCTGGCTCTCCAAGACAGCCAGGCGCTCGCCGGTCGGGTTGGAACCACCCTCTCGCTTCACAGTCGACGGCCGTCCGGAGTACGAACACCGTACTTTCGCATCGTGGCAGGGTTTACAAATGATGGAACTTCTCTTGCCAGCCTGCATCTGGCAAGAGATCTTCTTGGTCCTGCACCGTTTGCAGGGTTCCTTCTCGTCGTCGTCGTCGTCGCCGTCGTCCGGGTCTTCGTCCACAGGCTAGCAGGAGCAGGTCAGACAATTACCTGGTTGTAGAAAAAGAAGTACGCACCTGGGCCTTGGCCTTGCCTTTTCCCTTGCTCTTCTTCGAAATTTCCACCACTGGCCTCCGCGGCGAAACCGACACCTCACTTGGGGAGGTCCCCCTCTGACTTCGAGCTGTCGCCGCCGCGGCCAACAGCCTCCTCCTCTCAGTAACCTCCTCCTCCTGTTGTTGCGCCCGTCAGGCTCGCTCCCGCGCCTCCTTCGCAGCTTTCTCTCGAGCCGCTGCTGCTCTTGCGGCCTTTTCTTCTGCGGCCTTCTTCGCCGCCTCCGCCGCTTTCCGCGCCCTCACTCTCTCCACGCGTGCCTGCGCCCTCCGGATAATCTCCTCCTCATCCTCATCCTCCAGATCCTCCTCCTCGTGGGCGGTAAGGTCAATGGGCGGGGGCGGGACAGGGCGCGACCTCGAAGGACCGGCGGTTGAAGGGTTGGTAGTAATGGTGGTGGTGCGACTAGTGGACATGGTTGACTTAGAAGTTTTTTGGGAACTTGGGTCTTATCGGCGAAACTCTGGACCTTTTATACGGCAAAACTGCGCACGGACCAGCGAAAAATTTTCTTCGAATTGTACTGGGTGTACGGTGAACCGCGCCAATTCCCGGTACTAACGGCTTTCAAAATTTTCCTGCTGACTGATGGGTCAAATTCCCGATGCTGACGGCCTTTAAAAATTTTCTTGGGTGACTAACCAACTCCCGGTATTAATGGCTTTCGAGGGCTCAAGCCTAAGAGGGGGATACTGTCAAGTCCATGCCGGCGGGCCTCCATTCCGCCGCTCGGTACTCCGAAGATCTGCTCTTTATTGTAATCTCTCTCCTATTGTTCTTTCTCGCTACACATATCCTTTCGTTCTAGTCTCTCATTATTGTCTTTTACTCTTTCGTTCTAGTCTCTCCTTATTGTCTTTTACTCTACCCTGCAGGTACTACTCGTATAGCTCCTAGTAGTTAGTCTAGCGCTCCGCACCGATGCGCCGTTCCGTAGATATAAATACTGCCTGTACGCTACTGTAGTTCCTCAGTTTAATTATCAACTTAGATCGACTTAGATTCCCTCTTACACTCTGTGCTCTCTAAGTCTTCAGGCTCAACGCCTTGAAGTACTCTCTACGCTACCTTAGGACTAGACGTCCTCTGGCTCGCTCCTCGTCACCGGCGATACCGCCGCTCCGACTTGGCTGCTTCTCAGTTCCTCCCTTCTCTACTCTCAATCTCCGGGGACTAACGGCGTAACGGCGGTGTTGTTAATAACTTCACTACTGTCCCACTCGTCTTCCGCACTTAGACACCTTGTGGCTTTGGCACGGTTACACGGTGTACATGATCTTAACACTAAGTTGAAGTATCATTGTCAGTAATCCGGAGCTGAGTACAAGTAATACACGCCTATCATAGATTATGATATACAGAACTATAAATGGTCATTGACGAAGGAGCGCTGAACACGTGGTCAGCTGGCTCAAAATTCTTTGATGGTCTGACATCCTACTACCTATGGTCCTATTGCATAGATATTTGTGTGGATAGGCCCCCGAGTGGAGTTAAAGAGGTTGCAGAGTATGTACATAACTTGATGTTACCAGTTAATGATTTTACGAGGACAGTAGTTGGTCCATGGGTAGAGCCTAAGACAGCTCATACTTATACTTACAGCTTGGATTGTTATGTACCACATGATAAAGCATGATAATCATATATGAGCATATATGTTTCTCGTTCATTTTAGTTAGTAACTGGACTATTCCAGAATCCAAACGATAACTGTTTATTTTGAACCTACATCGTGACACATGGACACATGGTGACACACCACGACTTGATCTCTGCACTGGACTTGATCTCTGCACTGGTCTTTGCAACAGCACGTCGCAACTTTTCTTTCTTTTTCTAGGACGCTGAGTCGCGCTAATTGTGAAAAAAAGTCGGGCTAATTGTGAAAAAAGTCGCGCTATAGCTAATGTGAAAAAAAAGTCGGGCTACCGGGGAAAAATTCCCGCGGATTTTTTCGCCAACTTGGACTTACTATCTCTCACAGAACGCCCCCCAGAACTTATCTCTCACAGAATGCCCCCCCCCCCCCGGAATACCCCAACGCGTATCCCGCGTATCCCGCTGAACGGTGAGGTAGAACACCCCGGTATGGGTTGTGAGAGATGAGGGGTGAGGATGAGGGGGATGAGGGGTTTGAGGATTTGGGGAGGTATGCACTATGCACTATGCACTCGAAATCGAAATCGAAATCGAGAAAGCGAGAAATCGGGAAATCGAGAAAGCGAGTAAGATGTAAGATGTATATCTCATACATATACACACGAATCCCTACTCCCTACTCCCTGGTCCCTAGTCCCTGGTCCCTAGAGTAGTGATAAAGAATCGAATAAGGAAAACTGAAACTATGTATGTATACGTAAGTACGTTGGTTGGATCGCTGGATGTGTGTCTTCTTCTTTGTATCCTTCCACCACTCTTCTTCTTTGTATCCTTCCACCACTCCTCTTCTTTGTATCCTTCCACTCTTCTTTGTATCCTCCACTCTTCTACCCATCTTTCCACCCTCGTATTTGATCCTCAACTCCTACGAACCCCCCTCTCTTATAAGGCCCAAAGCCCAAAGCCCAAGCTCCAGTCCGCCCTATCGTCTCCGCTCGAACGAGGATGAGCGCTGGATGTTGATATCGATAGCGGTAGTGGTGTTTGGGTGTTTGGGTTGGTAGTGGATGGGTGGGTTGGGTTGGGTGGAGGGTGTGGGTGGAGGGTGTTGGAATTTGATTGGGTGGGTGTTTGGGTATCGGTAGTGGATGGGTGGTGTCGGTAGTGATATCGGTGTTGGAACGATGTTCGGAAACGACACGAGTGCAGGAGTGGAAAACGACAGGAGAGAACGAGGAAATCAGCACCAAAACCCACCAAAACCCACGTGGAACACAAAAAAAACGAAACACGTAGAACACACGAAACACGAGAAAAACGAAACACGTACCCCGAATATCACCACCGCGAAATCGAAGATATACTCTCCTGTATAACGGATAGAACATGAGAATATGAGAACGGAGAATAGGGCGGAGAATGGAGAACATGAGAACAGAAGGTATGAGGTGGAATGGAAGGTATGACGGAGGACGGAGGGCGGAGGGCGGAGAAGGTATGAGGAAGAACGGAGAATGGAGAACATATGAGGAAGAACGGAGAACGTGAGAACGGAGAACGTAGAACGGGGAAGGTAGAACGGGGAATGGAGAAGGTAGAACGTGGATACGCACCGAATTCCAAATACGACCGGAGGAGTTCTGTGGTGTACACGGGGGCATCAGTGGGGCGAAGTGACGGAGGGAGGGAGGGATACCGAGGGAATACAGAGGAAGGGAAAGAATGGAGGTAATACGGAGGAATACTGAGGAAAGAAGGAAGAACAGAGAGATACCGAGGAAAGAAGGAAGGCGAATACCAAGGAAACAGAGAAATACAGAGGAAAGGAATACCGAGGGAAAGAAGGAATGAAGAGACGGAGGAAAGAGGGAAGGAATAAAGGAAGGAGGAAAAAGAGACGTACGACGGATATCTTTATTCGGGACTTGGGATAGTGCGGGGCTGGGGAACCGGTGTAGCCGTAAAAGCGTACAGCGGTGCAAGTGTACAGTGGAGGAAAAGTGCAATGGAGGAAGGGTGCAATGGAGGAAGGGTGCAATGGAGGAAGGGTGCAATGGAGGAAGGTGGTGTTGTGTAGTAGCGTCGAGCATTAAGCAGCGATTAATTAATTAATTGATTGTAAAGAGAGATTATGCGCATCCCATAAACAATAAGCCATTCGCACTGTCTAAACAAAACACACACACACCTCAACCCCGTAGTCCTCCTCACCCCAGCTAAGAACGCGCTGATGACGAGTGCGTCGAAGCTTAGGTGTACTGTGTGGTCCAGAATATGATAGTCCAGAATATGATGGAATGTAAGATAGTATAAGATAAGATGGATGTATTAGCTTGGGTATTTGGGTGTTTGGGGTGAGGGAAGGGGGAAGGTGGATTGGGTAGAAGGATTGGGGTAGAGTAAAGGAATTAGGATAATGGATTCGGGTAGAGGTAGAGGCAAAGAGACGAAGAACCGTACCTAACGTGCCCAACATCTCGAATCACAATATACTGTTCAATCGTTCCGTTCAATCGTTCAGACGTTCGGTAACTTCAGACAAGGTGCAAGATACAAGATGTGCAAGATGTGTGGTGCAAGGGCGTGGTGTGGTGTAAAAGTGCGTGGTCGATGCGGAGTTACTTGGGCGTTACTGTGACGCATCGCACGGGTGACGTAACTCCCGGCACAAGGCACAAGACAAAGGCCGGCACTCGGCCACTCGGCATTGTGAGGCACAAAGCGGCCGGTGCAAACCGAAAAACTCCGCAAAACCGCAGTGAGATGGGCTGGGATAGGCAACCTCGGTTCTAACTCGGTGTTTTACTTTGACTTTTAACGCAACGCAACGTAACTCTCGACGATAAGTTATACGTAGCACCTACGTTGCAGGAACGCAAACAGAAGAGAAGGAAAGAGAAGGAATAGAGGATCTAGAGTTCGTAGACTAGACTAGAGAGGGATAATTTGAAATCTCGGATTGGTTAGACTACTTGGACTTGGATCCGTCTCATCGATTTGGATCGGATCTTCTTCTTCACACTCCACCAGCACCAGTACCACTACCAGTACCTCTCCTCAGCAATGCCTTCACTCTCATCCACCCCCTCAACAACGCTCTCATCCGTCTACCTCCACCCCACCCCTCAATCCATCCTCACCTCCCTCGATGCCCAATTCACACTCCCCCCCGCCCTCCTCACGGACCTCACACACGCGTTCCTCCGCGAGATCAACCTGGGGCTCAAAGCGTACGGAGAGGACATGGCTATGGTGTGAGTCCTCTCTCCTCTCTCCTCCTTCCCTTCCTTTATGTCTCTAACACTCCACACCCCACCCAGCCCCTCATTCATCACCGGCGTCCCCGACGGCTCCGAAACCGGCACCTTCCTCGCCCTCGATCTCGGGGGGACCAACCTCCGCGTGTGCCAGGTCACGCTCAACGGCGATAAAACGTTCAAACTCCGACAACAGAAATATAAAGTCTCGGAGGGGTTGAAGACGGGTGAAGCGGGGGTGTTGTTTGATTATTTGGCGGATTCGGTGGATGCGTTTCTTACGATGCATCCTCCGGAGTCTCCTCCTCTTTCTCCTTTGGACCCTTCTCCTACCTCCCCTTTGGACGTCCTCCCCCTCGGCCTAACCTTCTCCTTCCCCGTCGAACAAACCGCCTTGGGCGCAGGCACCATCCTCACCTGGACCAAAGGCTTCTCCGCGAAAAACGCCATCGGCCACGACGTCGTGCGTCTCCTCCAAGACGCGTTCGATAGGAAACATTTACATGTGAGATGCGTGGCGTTGGTTAATGATACTGTAGGCGCGATGCTGTCGAGAGCGTATACCTCTGGAGGGTGTATACTTGGTGCGATTTTTGGAACGGGGACTAATGGGGCGTATTTGGAGAGAGTTGGTGAGTTGGTTGTTCTTTTTCCTTATCCCCATACCCGCCCTCACCCTCACATACAGAGAACATCCCGAAATTAACTCTCGCCAACCCTTCTTTCACCGAGAACACTGAAAACACAGGATACATGGTGGTAAACACCGAATGGGGGGCGTTTAATAATACCGTACGTATTTCCTCTCTTGGCTTTGGTTTTGTTTTAGCGTTATCTTACCTCTTCTTCCCTCCCTCCTCCTACCCCTTCTCCCATCTCCCACCCACCCATCTCCCCATCCCCTCCCCATCCCCTCCCCCTCCTCTACCCCTTCCTCCACACAGCGCACCCACCTCCCCTACACCCCCTTCGACACCGCCCTCGACCGCACCTCCATCAACCCCCGCGCCCAGGCATTCGAGAAGTTTATTTCTGGGATGTACCTCGGGGAGCTGACGAGGGGGGTGTTGGTGGCGTTGGTGGATGCTGTGGTGCGAGGTGACGTTGTGGGTGGAGAGCAGGTGCTGGCTCAAGGCGAAGGTGAGAGTGGGACTCAGACTCAAGGCTCGAGTGAGAGTGAGACTCAGGCGCACCCAACGACGGAGTCGAAGCCAACAAAGGACAACAAGGATAACAAGAATAACAAGAATAAAACACCACCAACACGACGCACAAAAACCCACTCCCTCCTATTCAACGGCATCTCCACACGTGTATTGAATGAGAAATGGGCCCTGGACACGAGCGTGATGAGTGAGGTCGAGGAGGCGTGGGAGGCTGTTGACGCTAGTAGCGGTACGACGGAGAATGGTGGTACTGGTAGCGGTACGACGGAGAACGGCGGTACTGGTAGCGGTACGACGTTGGAGGGGACGGAGGGGATGATGGAGAACGGCGGTACTGGTGGTGGTGCGATGGAAGGAGGAGGAGGTGGTGGTGGTGGTATAGGTATATTGAATGGAGGAGAAGGGACCCCGAACGAAATCGGCGAAAACCCGCTCTGGGACGGAGACGATAGTGGTGGGTTGCCGGATTGGGAGTTTTTGTCGGGTTTTGATTTCACTCCTACCTCTACCACCCCAACTACCACAAATCCCTCAACCACGGCACTCGCTAACACCAACACGAAACTCCGCACCAAACTGGAACGAGTGCGCCAAGTCGTGGTGCGGAGACTGGGCTACGAGGATGGGGAGGTGCGGTTGAGGGATGCTGCGGTGGGTGGTTTTTCTTTTTCTGAGTTGTTTGTTTTGTTTTTTTTTGGGGGGGGGGCGTTTTTTTGGGTTTTTTTGGGTTTTGGGGGTTTTTTTGGGGGTTTTCTGGGGGGGGGCGTTTTTTTTTGGGTGTTTCTGTTTTGTTCTGTTTCCTCGTACCTCGTTCACCTCATTCGCTGTTTCCGTTTTATCACTTCTCGAATCTCCTCGCACCGCGTTGCGTTGCGTTGGTGCTTCGTTGATTCGTTCATCCATCCATTTTGTTGCGTTGCTTCATCCATCCATTTGTTCAACGTTCAACGTTCAACCTTGACACGTAATACCCAATACCCAATACCCAATATACCCAATATACACACTTTCCTTTCCTTTCCTTTCCTCCTCTCCTCTTCTCGTTCGACTCTTCGACCCTTCGTCTTGGTTTCGTCTTTTTCTGAACATTGTCTTCCCTCCTCCCCTTCCCTCTCCCTTTTGTTCTTCTCCCTCTTCTGCCCCTCTTCTGCCCCTTTCTTTTTTAACATTTTACCAACTCAACCCCTCCCCTCCCCCCCCTCCTCCCCTCTCCCCCCCCTCCCCCTTCTCCCTCCCCTTCTCCATCCCTCTCTCTCCTCCTCCTTCTTACCAACCCTTACTAACCCCCTTCCCCCCCCTTTCCATCACACACAGATAGTCCGCTGGGTATGCCACCTCGTCGCCCGCCGCGCCGCGCTCCTCTCCGGCGTAGCCGTCGCGGCGGTGTTGATACAGACTGGGCGGGCGGGGGTTTTGGGGGGTGGGGAGGGGGAGGGGGGAGGTGAGAATGGGGTAAGCACGAGTGAGAATGAGAATGAGAATGAGAATGGTGAGAATGGGACGAATGGTGAGAATGGGGTAAGTGAGAATGGGACGATGAATGAGAATGGGGTAAGTAAGGGGACGAAGAAGACGGACGAAGAAAAGATCGGTGTTGGTGTTGATGGGAGGTACGTTTTCGTTCCTTCCTTCCTTCTTCTTCCTCGTTCCTTCTTTTTCGTTCGTTCGTTTTGAGTTCTTCTTCTTCGTTCTTCGTTCTTCGTTCTTCGTTCAACTCCTTCGTTCAACTCCTCTCTCCAACTCCTCTCTCCAACTCCTCTCTCCAACTCCCTTGTTCCATCGAATCAACCTCTTTTGGGGAGCTGTACTCTTAGACAGACTGCCTTATCCTTCTCTTAGCCTCCTTGGGTAATTCAGCTACTTAATTGACGCGTTACTTTTCGATAGTTTTGATGGTTTCGATGGTTTTGATAGTTTTGATGGTTTTGATACTTTCATCCCTCTCTCCCCTCCCCTCCTCTTCCTTCCTCCCTCCCTCTCTATCCCCTTCCCCCATCATCCTCTTTCTTTGTCCAACCATCGTTCCCATCCTAACTAACCATCCCCCTCCCCTCCCCTCCCCCTCCCCCTCCCCCCTCCCCATCCTAACCATCCCCCTCCTCCTCTCACACAGCCTCATCCAACACTACCCCCACTTCGAGCGCACCATGCGCGAGTCCCTGCGGAGCATCGTCGGCGCCGCCGTCGAGCGGCGCGTGGAGATCGGGTTGGCGAAGGATGGGAGTGGGGTTGGTGGTATGTTGTCTTTTTTTTGCTTTCGTTTTTTGGGGTTTTTCGTTCTCATCGAGTTGAATTGGATTGAATTGCCTCTTCGCCTCGCCTCATCTCGTCTCCCCACGTCTCCTCATCACCTCCACTTCATACACGCTCAACACACAACACACGATCCATGCTCCTCACCTCGTCCCGTTTCCCCACTTCCACTTCGTGCGACGTTCTTCTTCGTGGCATAGCTGCGCTATGTGCGCTTCAAGCGCTGAAACAACAACAACAACCGCAACCGCAATAATGATAGGTCGAAATCGCAATAGATGGAGTTTGGAGTTTGGAGTTTGGAGATGGAGATGGAGATACGGAAATACGAAATACGAAGATACAGAAATACGAAGCTCATACCAGAGGTAGATCCACGGCACGCAGAGGAGGAGGAAACATCGATGGGAGATTGTAAACTGTACAGAACCCGAGAACCCGAAAACCAGAAGTGGCATAGTATGTAAACACGAACAGTTATGTATGGTATGTATGGTATGTATATACATATACTTATATGGTATCTTTTATTCTTTTTTATGTTTTTGATGGTCTTTTCGACTTTGTTTGTCTCTCTGTTCGACTTTGTTTGTCTGTTCCTCAGTTCAACTTTGTTTCTCTTCTCTGTCCATTCTCCATCCCTCTCTCGGTACCTTCTTTCTCAGTATCTCCAGTCTCTACTCCCTTTGGGGACACCTCGGATGACTCGGAGCAATGAACAAATAAATAAATAAATAAATATGTATGTATATCCAGGATGTGTATGGATGGATGGATGGATGGATGTGCAAAGATGTGCAAAGATGTGCAAATATGTGCGAAGAGAAGATACAAAAACCAAACCCACCCCATCTAGCCCCATCTCCATCAGTCTACCATCCATGCTAACTTATTTTTATGCCTCCGAGAACTCGAGCTCAATCTAAATCCATCACACATTGTAACCACTGTCAATTGTCAAATGAACTGATGAAATGATCTATGTGGTAACACTTCAATGAATCACCACCCTTTAAGTGTTTTATATAGGACATTTCGGATGACTCAGGGGGTTGACCTATGTATGTATGGATGGATGGATGGATGGATGGATGTGCGAAGATGCAACAATTAAACTCAACCCATCTACATACATCCATGCTAACTTATCACCTTAATTTTTTTGCACACCTCCGAGAACTCGAGCTCAATCTAAATCCATCACACATTGTAACCATTGTCACCATTGTTATGGTTCCAAAAGTTCTATGTGCTAACACTTCAATGAATCACCACCCTTTAAGTGTTTTATATAGGACATTTCGGATGACTCGGGGGGTTGAGTATGTATGTACATATGGATGGATGGATGTGCGAAGATGCAAAGTAACAGCATAATGACTTACCTACTTCCAAGCAGCTCATCCTAGGGATTATTTCTCGAGCTTTAAAACACCCTCTACTTGTATATTGTATACAGCCATTAGGTACATATGTATGGGATAGTTTTCAATAGCATTCAGTACAACATCAACTTGAAGTGCTTTCTTGTTTGGGCAAATTTTCTTCGGTAGCCAATGCGTACCTAATTACTTTTTGATTTTATTTTATTTTATGGCCTAATAAAAGTTTCGAAGTTGTCATCATTTCCCAAACCCCAACATGCTGTAGATTTTAGGACATTTCGGGGAATTGACTGTGTATGTATGTATGGATGGATGTGGATGAATGGATGGATGGATGGATGTGCGAAGATGTAAAAATTAAACTCAACCAATTTATGTCATGCTTGCTAACTTATCATTTTAATTTTTTTTCATGCCTCCGAAAACTCGAGCTCAATGTATGTAGAGTAAGTGACAGGCACCATTTGCGAGCATGCATACATAATCTTATCCATCACATATTGTAACCATTGATTGTCAAAGGTTCTATGGTTCCGAAAGTTCCAAAGCAAACTAATGAAACATCACATGCACACACACACACACACCCACACATACTCCGAGTCTCTTTCTTTCTCTCTAGATCCTATCAGAACTCGAACTTGAATCAGTGAATCAGTTTCAAGTTCCAACTTTCGAAAAAAAAAAAAAAATTCATTCATTTTGATTTTGATTTTGATTTCCAGTTTCATTTTCAGTTCCAGTTCCCCGTCGTCCCTCTTCGCTCTTCCTCCGTGATCTCTAGATTTCCAATTCATTGCCCTGGCCCACAACAATGGTTGTACATGGTGTTTGGGTGGGGTTCCACCAGAGATTCTGGAGGGCCATTTATGGTTCAGTTTGGGCTTCTTCTTGCTTCTTCTTCTTCTTCTTCTTCTTCTTCTTCTTCGAAGCTTGGTTGATTCCATTCCAACGCAGTAAATGTAGATTTTCAAATGCTGACTAGGTGTATGTGGGTCAAAGACTCAAAGTAGGTACATATGTACCATACATTCCTGGATATGTTAATGATTAAATGTGGATTAATGTGTATTACATGGATTTCTTTGGCAATGAGATAGATACATAAATACAGCAATGAGTAGGGTAAGGATAGCCAGTAGCAGCAGCACCCTCCTCCTCGAGTCATTCATATCAATGTCTTCACTACTGTCAGTATGGCCAGAGATCTTAGTGGCAAAAGTCAGTACCCCATTTTTGTTTCACCTGCATTTGCGAAAAAACTTAATCACTAATGAGTTCTATATTCTATCTATCTATGATTCAGATCAATATGAACAAACCACTATGTGACAGAGTTGTATTTCATAGTCAAAAAGCATATGTTTTGGTCTTGAATAGGATCCTTCTGCTTGAATCAGGGGATTATCATAATTATGATTGTGATCATAGAATCGAAAAGCTTTTGGTGAGTAGTACATATTATTATTATTATTAACATATTTTCTCGTCACTCACTGGAAACCAAAAACACACACACACACTTCTCTTTTCTTTGTTTTTTGGTCGGGCACAGAAAAAGATCCTGGAGAGAGGAATCGTGAGTGTTATCACTGTATTCGATGGACATGAATTTTTGAGTAAGGGTGGGTCACAGGTTTTGAGGAGAGGATATTCTGGATTGAAGAGAGGATGTCCTGTGTGGAGGCGAGGATGAATATTTTCTTCTTGAGGTTGTTAGTGATGACGAGGACTCTCTCACCATCTCTGTTCTGGTACTGCCATTGCCATTACGCGGTCTTAAATACGATGGTTTTTTCACACTATCAAAGTGATGAAGGATGAAGTTGTATAACGGTCTGTATATGAGTTTGGGTATGAGGTTGAGTGCACCACGTAGAAAGAAAAGCAAACGTATGGATTACAAGCCCGTTATTTACGCCAAACTGTTTCCGAAATTCGCTTTCAAGATATTCTTGACTGATTATCGATGTCTTACTGCGTATATCATTCCTACTGTGCTTATACTCCATTGTTTTTTTTGCATTCCCTCACCTCCTAAGCTGAACGCGTTTTCGGCACCGGAATGCAACAATAACGTTGGTACAGGAAAGTTCGTATACTGGTTCCACAAGCTATACTTTCTTCGGTGGTAAGCAACTAAGGTTGGTCTTGATTTCATAGTACGAGTGGGTACTGCAATACACATGGCATCCTGAAAAGTCTTCGCACAGAGTGAGGAATGGGAAGACTATATTGTGCCCAGAGTGACCAAAATTAGATGTCATAGCATTGGCATTCGTGACCTCGATCGACATGATACATAGTTAGCGAGTTACAGCATTTTCGAAGAGTTATTGCAACTCGTCACCATTGCGAATGCGAGGCACCACTATCACAAATGCGAGTCGTCACTAACGTGGATGCAAGTCATTACCATCGCAAATGCTAGCCATACACGCTGTAATAAGGAAGAGTATGAGCGAACGTAACAAGAGGGTGAAAAGACGGAGTACTTGCTAGAGTGATTTCGCTTTCCAATCCCGTATCCATCATCTCTAACAGCGAGCCGTCAGCCTCTCTCTTGCCTGGAATCTCTCCCTCTCTCTCTCCCATTCTCCTTTTCATATTACTCTCCTTCCTTTGTCTGCTTTGTCGATACCTTGCATTCCGAAATGCTTTCGAAATGTTTAGTGTTCGCGTCTGCGAAGGTTGCGTATGTGCTTACAATAGATCGTCTTATTCATAAAGCGAAGAACTCAGTTTGATTGAATGATATGAGGATTGAGATGGACGTACCAATATTCATTGCTCGCGGGACAGAAGTTCGCCATCCGACATTAGACTATTTGCAGTACACAGACCCATGCCCACGGCTCCTTCATTCCGAAGCACATATAAAATGTTTGCATTTGCATCTGCAAGGGTTGTCTATCCGCTCACGATAAATCATCTTATCCATAAGGCATAGAAATCAGTTTTTGTTGTATTATAATAAGAAACGAAATAAACGTACCATTTCTCATTGCTCGCAGGCCAAAAATTTGCCATCCGACGTCGAACTGTTCGCAGTACCCAAACCCACCATGATACACTGTTCAAATGAAGCAGGATTAGCGGGATCAGCAGGAATTATTCGTTCGATAGTGCGCGTCTCAACAGCAATGACACCCATGGGGATACCACCAAGCCGAGCCCGCCCAAGACCATCCTACAAACCAATGATATCAGTGATCTTGTGGCGCAACTCTCCTGCCACCTCAACATCGATGGTTTTGATGGAATCATGGCCTTGCCCCTCTAACTTCAAGTAATTCTCGTGCGTCAAGTATAGGTAATGGACTCCCTTCTCCGGATGCCCTTCTTCGTTCCAAGCAGCCGAGAATAAGGGTATGAGCTCTTCAGCCAGACCAATACAAGCTCCAGAATTCGCTGACAGGTAGATTCGAGGAAGGCCTAACTCCCTCGCATACTGAGTGACAAGATAGAAGAATTGGTCTTCCATGGGACCGAATGATCCAATTTTGTAGGTGATGTCGTTTGCTACGACTACAACTCTGCGACCTTGAGGGAATTCTGGAGTACGCATAGTGAATATCCAGCCTATCGGCATACCATCCTCTTCTCTAAAAAGCCGCAACGCGACATTGAGGACGTTGGGAGGGAACTGAGGATGTCCATATCGTGAATTGTACTCGATTGCATCAAAAAAGAGGCAATGCGGAGGCAACTTTGCTGAAGCCTTTCGCCAATGCAAGGAAGTTCGGGAATGATGAGATGGCACCAACACGAATTGGTTGGGATTGGTGTCGGCTGATGAGATAGGTCAAATCACTGACAGACGCCGACCTTTTACTTTCACGTCAGTAGGAGCTCAATCAAGAGACAATGAATGACTTACCCCGATAAAGATATACAAGGCGTTGAAGGAGGAGAGTGAGACTGGCCAAGATTGAAGCGCCAGGTAACGATACTTGGAGAATCACCGTCATCGAGCTCATCTCCTTCCTCGTAGTCAATGGAGAGTAAAGTGTAAGCCTTATAAGCACGACGAATGTAGACCTCGAAAGCGGCTTTCGTTGTCTTTTAGTATAATTACATCAAGATGATTTAAACCACTCACCAAGAGGGACCATATGGTCTTCATGCTCGAAGAAGGCAGAAAGTACATCGAACACAGTATAACGAGAATCACTGAGTTCTCGTAACACTTCCGCAGACGGGGTATGAACAGTGTTCACCTGCTCGCCGTAATACTGACTGGTAACCGAACTCCTCAACACAGTTTCCATTTGACCAAGTCGTTCTTTGTACGAGGGCATTTGGCCCATGATAAGCACCTCCCGAGCTTTGAGGGATACGGAAGTTGACGATCTGAAAATCATACAAAAGTTCAACAAGAAGTTGGACAGAGAAAAACATGGCACCTACTTGGCTTCCAAGGAAGCGAGATCCTGTAATACCTTGTACAAAGGACTTTCCGCATTCGAAACGCCTATACCTTTAGTCTTGATGTGATTGAGTATCGTCAGCACCAGCTTCGCTTTGCTCGAGACTTTGATGTGACTCAGGACAAGGCTGATGATTTTGTCTATATCATCTTTGTTTTGTTCACGGAGCGTAAGAATTCGTGCTTCAATACTTCCGCCGAACATTCTTTCTGTAGCCTCGTATTTCTCGCGCAAGTTAGACCAAACTTTGATTTCATGGCCCCTTCAAACCACCAGTAAATCTATCCAAGACATCGTAGATCGCACCCAGTTGTGTACGGAACATAGGTCGATCTTGTGGTAAGACGCTGCTCTCGACGAAATTCTCGAGCACCTTTTTGATTCGAGCAGCGGGGAATTCGCCTTTAGCTTTGGCAGTTTCAAGAGCAGCGTGGATGCTATCATCAAGCTTGGCAGGAATACGGCCGGAAAGTGAAGAAAGGATACATGCAACTTTTTACGTGCTTCAATCCTCCGCCTTCACCTCCAAATCTGCTCCTCGTTAGCTTTGCCTTCCGAACTGAAGGTGGCTTGAAGCGCATTGAAAAGGTTTGTGTTCATGTCTGCAAGGGTTGCATATGCGCTTCTAATAAACCGTCTGATTCATGAAGCAAAGGAATCGATTTCATTATATCATATGTATAAGAACTGAAATGAACGTACCGATTTCTTCCTTACTCGCGGGACATCGACGTTGAATCATTCCAAATATCCAAACCCATGGGTCTTTCATTCCAAAGCACATCTGAAACATTCAGTGTTTGGGTCTGCAAGGGTTGCCCTATCCACTCATGATAAATCTTCTTCTTCGTAAAGCATAGGAATTGGTTTCAATATATCATATTGGGAAACAAAATGAACGTACCACTTCTCATTGCTCGCAGGACAAAAGTTCGCCATCTACGTTGAACAGTTCGCAGTACCCAAACCCACGGCACTTCTTTCCGTGGTCATGCGACTTTTTACGTCCTTAAATCCTCCGTCTTCACCTCCACTCTGCTCCTCTTTGCTGTTGCCTCCCAAGCTGAACGTGACTTCGAAAGTGTAATCCAAAGGGCGTAGGTGCGAGAGAGCTTGCACCCGGATCCCACTACGCGTTTGAATAGACCCGAAGGACCGTTGAGTACGGCCTTGGGAAGATGAATTGGGGAGGATTCTGAAAGAGTTCATATTTCGCTTCCACGGTGAGAGGAGTCATGGGAGTCGGTCTTGGTCTTGAAGTACGAGTGGGTGCTACGATAGGTATTCAGTTTGCTCTCGTGGATACACAAACTAGGTAAAGCTTAACACAAACCTTGGTATTTACACCCTGTACACCTCCTCACAAACCCTCGTGTGCAACCTGAGCATCAAAAGCTTATAAAATTGAGGTCTAAGCAAATGGTCGAGACCGACAAGTCAGAAAGCGTGGTTCGGAGACAGCACCAGACGGGTGTATAGGAGATATTAAGATGCACCGAACTCACAGAAACTTGTCATGATTCAAATTCTGTCGATGTGTAGGCGAAGCGGCGCGTTTGAAGTCGTTAATGATGACTTGGACAATCATGCTGGACGAAGAATTTCAGAGAACACGAAGTGGACCATGATGAAGGCGACAAGGTTTGAGGAAGAGGAGTCGCCTATCGAGAGATGCCAGCAGAGAGCTATCGGGAAGTATCTTCGGTGTGGATTCACAAATGAGAACGAGGGTTCATACTCACGTTCAACATTACTTATGAGGTGCCATCACCACATTGACAACAAGCGAGTGCACAAAGGAAACCAGCGTGAATTTGAAGACAAGTTCGTGTAGTGACTTCCAGCTTATCGCCACGAGAGAAGCACTTCGCTGATGATATTATTCCGAACAGAGCAGTAGTGCTTTGGCTGTCGTGGTAGCCAAGCTGTTTAGTCCGGGCCGGGGAACTGGTTTCCCTTACCAGCACCCATGCCACTCTGCCGCTCTGATGCCACTACTGTGCGATCATCGATGGGATATTCTTCCTGAGATTATACTGGTTGGGAATACTTCCAAGTGCGTATTTCATCTTCCTCTCTATGGATTATTTGAATTTGTTTGATACGTTGTACACGGTTCTGTCTAGTCAGGTCGTAATCGATTATCAAGCATGATTTGTTACATATAATAGTAGACCAACGATGTTTACCAGGGCAAGCTTCTGTCTTCTTACAACTTCCATCTGGGGTTTCACCGGTAGAAGTCGGTCTTGTGTAAGCTCCTCGCAAAAAACCCACCAAGTATCACGGAATGTCGCCTCAAATCATGGATACAACGCCTCTACCAAAAATGCAAATCTTTCTGACTCTGTTAATTCAGTTGTCGGAACCGATAACAGCGATGGTTATTTATCCGTTCATCACCAAAGCTGTTCGGCGCACTGGTATCACTGAAGGGAACGAGAAGAAAACCGGATATTATGCTGGCGTACTTGTGAGTAGCTCTGTTACTCCTTATGAGTTGTGATAATAACACGAAATAAAATCCAGGAAAGTACATTTTTTCTGGCCGAAAGCTTCTCGGTGTATCCCATAGGACGCCTCTCAGATTTCTACGGGCGGAAGCCCATACTTCTAATTGGTCCTCTAGGACTATCAGTAGCGATGCTTAGTTTCGGGTTATCACAATCGTTTTGGTGGATGGTCCTTTCTAGAGCAGCAATGGGCGTGTTCAATGGAAACATCGGTACGTGGTTTTTTATTCTCATATGTCATTCTTATTCAAACGGTCCGCGACAGGTGTTTCGAAGACATTAATGGCGGAGGTAATATTCAATCATTCTATGTGTTTCTCGAAGCTTGAGCTGTTCTTTTCAGAGCACGGATGATACAAATAGAGCTGATGCGTTCACATTAATGCCGATCATATGGACTGTGGGTAGTACTGTGGGGTGAGGATGTGTTTTATCCTCATCGTTTACGAGGTTCACTCAATGAATCGATATACGTATCTGTAGACCTACTCTCGGGGGCGTCCTCGCAGACCCAGCTGCACGATGGCCTCATGTCTTCGGCAAACTTCGCTTTTTCATCCAATATCCCTGGTTTCTGTCTTGTTTCGCTGCGGGATTCCTCGCTTTCGTTGCCTTTGTGTTATCCTGTGGGGGGCTCAAAGAGGTAAAAAGAGGTTCATTGTTCGTTGTCCAATGTGATTTCTTATCTTAAATCCATTGCAGACTCTACCAAGCAAAGTGAAGCAGAAATGTGTTGTTGAATCTTCGCCGCTCCTCAATGAAACATCACCATCTTATGGCGCCGTTGACACTACATCAGACTCGCCTCCATCCAATTCTGACGTCCCTCCCACCACTCGAGCCTTACTTGGGGATTCAAAATTAAGGATTACTCTTTTGAGCATGGCTTTCCTCGCTTTCACCGATATGTCATATGAGGTTCTTATCCCTCTGATATACACCACTTCAATACCTGTCGGTGGCTTAGGCCTCTCACCGTATCAAGTTGGTTTGATTTTGGGTACATTCGGGCTCGCAAACGGTGTCTGGAATTGGGCGGTTCTCACAAAAATACTGAAAAAGCTGGGGCCGAGAAAGACTCTCATTGTGTTTTATTCCTTCTTCTTGGTCCATTTCGTACTTTTGTGGATTCTTCGTGACGCTGCCGCGTATGCTGGAGGAGTTACACCTCTGGTTTGGGCACTGCTCATCTTCCAACTCTTCGTCTCGACTGCGATTGTCACAGCATTCAGTGAGTTGATCCACATTTCATTATTTAAATTTCGTTGGTTCCTGAACATCCATTTCGCAGATGCAATACATTTGCTGATCGTAACGAATGCCCCGCCGAATGCTTTAGGCTCAGTCAACGGGTTAGCTCAGATGGTTTCTTCGGGCACTCGAGGGCTTGCACCAATCTTTGCTTCATCATTGTTCTCGTTTTCTTTGGAGTCTCGCATTGCGCGTGGACATTTGGTAGAGCTTGTGCTGATGGGGATCACTGTCATTGGTATATATTGCATCTCGCGACTGCCTCACTGAACTGAAAGTGATCTCATGGAGAAAGAGCTTTGAGCCACAGCAAAGAAGTACACCATATCGTATCGATTTGTATGTCTTCGTATACATTCGTTTATCAAGGGGGCACAGCTTATTTTCCTTTCGTTGGCGGGATTCCATCATCACGATACACGAAATCGAGACTAAAGCGTTAGCGCTTAGCGCTTTCTCTCATGCGCGGCAGAAGAAGTGCGTGATGTCATAACCAGTTCCCGCGCAGCTTTCTCCACATTTCGGAGGACTGACGTACAGTGACGCTAATCACCTATTTCGCAGCCTTAAAAACTCCGTTAGTTTGCGCTAATACCTCCAATACCAATCAGAATCAAATCATCTAAATTCGCACTTATGCCTTTATTTTCGACCCGCCGCCACCATCCTCATCCTGCAAGTTACTCTAATACCTCCCGTCGACGAGAGCGATATTACCACCGCCGTGATCCTGACCATGTTGCTGGAGGCTACAGTAAGTAAATCATAACTTCAATTCGATATAATTCTGATTGTGTTATCGCGTCTTGTAGGAGCTGCTCTTGCAAACCCAAATACTACCAGTGCAGGTCGTCGACATGCCAAACATGAACTCCGAGCAATGGTCAGTCGAACCGCCTTCTTATTCGATGTATTATTCTTACTTTCTATTTCTTTACTCCAGGGTCGAAGCACCCATGTTCCATTGATGACCAAGATTAAACGCACATTGGGTATTCGAAGTACTCCTCGTCGCAAACGTGAACAAGAGAAGCATTATGAACGAGAACATAGGCATCGAAGGAAGTACTAATTCGATGGACCGCTACGCAGTTCACCCAATCTGTATCGCTATACCAGTCTGTATTTTACCAAGTAGTCTATCGTTATGTTTTCAGTATCATCTGAGGATTTGCAAGTAGAACAAAATATGTTCGTTATTCAATACTCCAGCTGCAGTACTCCAGTGCGATCTTACAGTGGTCGAAGGCGCCAAGTGTGATATTGGGCGCTCATTTTCACTTCTTATTTCCTCCCACTCGGTTCGGCCTTCCGATAATGGAACTCTTATCAGCTTCCCGGTATTCTCTAGCTGTACCGTGACTTGCCTCGTTCCAAGAATTGAGCTATCGCTTTTCCCTCCTCTCCTTCATCCTCGACATACGATTTTCTAACAATTGATCAACATGCAATTGCCTAGTCTTGGTTCAATCCTCCCTTTAGAACCTGGTATCCTCTCGGTGGCATTGTTGCTATCATGCGTAGCCGTATTTGCGTATAGACGGAAGCCTGCGGGTTATCTTCCCGCTCGGTCCAGCGTGCGCGATACCTCGATCTCTGAGAAGAACAAATTAAAGGAACGGGAATGGGGTGGTAAGTTTGCTGTTTCTGGACCCGCGTCTCCCTGAAGAAGTGCTTCTCGTAGAATGGCCTCCGGTAACCTTTTCCTATCCGCCCGTCACACCAACCTCGAATCCTGTCAATCTGAAGCCAATCCCGTATCGGCCTTTCCGATGGGGAGCTTACCAGTACACATACTTCTAATTTCTGTGGCCCTGCTCGATACTTATGTATAATATCAGTGTCACGATGGGTATTCGAGATATGCCTTGGGACGAATGGATTGAGGTGAGCTTCACCTCTACCTGAATGCTATCCTATAAGGTCTAATCGTCTTTGGACAGACCGACTACCAGATGCAATCATACTATTATATCAAGAAGCACCGTATCGCTACACGAGGTACAAACGTCGTCCAAATCTTACCCGATAGACCTGGGGTTGTAAAATCCGCCAGCCAGGGTGGTGTGTAATCTGAACTTTTAATTTCACTTTCAATAATATCTAATCCTCCACAGCAATCGAATTGGTCCATGAACTTGCCGATTATCTTAGTAAACGATACCCGGATGCTTTTACCGTGTCGCGCAACGTGTCAGGCGATATATCCAGTGTTGCAATCATTCCGGTGAACGCTAAACTCGACATCCCTCCTGCACTGGCGACACAAGGCTCTCTCAAGTTACGACAAGTGAGTATCGAGGAAGCTGAACGTGCAATGAAAGTATCTGCATTGCTGTAAGTATTTACTCGTACGGATATCCCTTTCCCTTCATGTAATATCATTTTTCCCAGCGTCCAAGATGATTTAGCCCTGATGGTCGAAGGTGAGTAATTTTATCTGGAGATTATGGTATATGTTAAATTCTCGGACTACAGGCACTGATGGTCGATACTACTTTCAAGGAGGTGCTATCTGCGTACCTGGTGAGTGGAATAAACTTCTATTACCGGATGATTGATTGTCCTACTGACGTTCTTCGACTAGGATTCTGGAGGATGCGAGATAAAATTGGTCTACCACTGGAAGATATTCATATCCAGGGACACGTTCCTCAGTGTACGGTCCATCTTCTGTCATTTATTTCATACAGACTGAACACTGCTACCTGTGAAAAGACGAAACAAGACTACACAACAGCATGGACCGATATTTCAAGCGCATGCCTGTAGAAAAACCTATCATCCGCAACAATTATTTCTTCCAAGTCATCCCTCCGGAGGATATCCGCCATCCTCTCAACGCGGCCGCCCAATCCTCTGCCAAGCCCATCATCGAGAACGATAGCACCGTAGACCCAGAAGAACTCGCTTGGTCCACGACTACCAACGGCTTTGAAGAAACTTTCAACCATGGACACCCAATCACCCCCGACGTGCGTCCAACCGTCGCTGCCGAGAACCTTCGTTTGCGAACTGAGCGCCAAACACTCCGGAGGCTTCCGCTTTCCGGTGCAATCGTCTTCGGGATTCGAACGTATCTGTTCCCGGTAGAAGAACTCGCGAAAGAGCCAGGCATTCCGGCGCGGATGGCAAGTGCTATGAGGAGCTGGCCGGAAGATGTGAGGAAGTATAAGGGGAATGGGCTGTATGAGAAGGTAATGCTGGAATATCTAGATAAGGCTGCAAAGGAACAACTTGAGGTTGGAGGTGAGGAATTGATGAAGGACACTGGAAAGGGGTATCCATTTTAGTTGGATGTATCATTTCACCTACAAAAATCATCTACCCTCATCTATCATTGCGGTTGTGAGACAACTCACTCTCTTGAGTGTTGAATTTGTTTTTGCTCTGCACCTGAGAGACAATAAATGACTCACCGATATAGTCTATCTCATGATGTAGAATTGGTGTTGGAGTTTAAAACACAGACATTGTCGATGTTGACATGCATAAATTGAAGCTAGAGAATATGCCAGTAACTTGTCAAAGAGATAGTCTTATTTAGTTTGCTTCCACAGTAACAAAATCAATGTCATTGAGAGCTAATGTGTACTTTCAATAGTAGAGCAAGGGGAGTCCCAGAAGGAGCTCCCTGCAGAGGTACAGCTCTCCCTTGAGCTGCCACCTGTCATGCCCTGGCTACAACCAGTACCAGCCACACGTCGTCACACTTTCTACCTACCTCTGCACCTCCCCAAGTACCACCATGCACCTCCCCAAGACAGTACCACCATTGCCCTGATATATCTACCCAAATGTCCTCGCGATCACCCCGACACGCATACAAAACCCTCCTAACCGCCAACCCCATTAAGTACTAATCTCGATTACCTTCATCCCTTGATTAGTTGCCTCATGCCCTCCAGATGTTCTCTTGTTCACTTCCCGTACCTATTTAAGTAGTGTCGCAATGTCCCAAGCCCCAGCTTGGTATATTTTGAACACACACCCTTTTGCATAGGTCCAGTCCCTGTCCCTTTGTACCTGCTAACCATACAGATTTCTCTTTACTCTCTGTTTCTCTATCTCTGTTTCTCTCTACTCTTGTCTACTGTCTCTGTGATCGTCTATACAGTTGAATACACACTTTTACTTCACGTCTAAGCAATCCGAGTGAGTCTCCGAGCTCCCTCGAACAACACTAAAGCTCCCCCAACGCCTAATGCCTTGGTGAGCCAACCTCCCCAAAACCTTCTCGAGCTCCCCAATTGCTCCACAAGCTCTGGGACCTCAATCTAGGTAACGTCGAAGCTACCCCCCTACATCGAACTACGTGCCGCTTCTCTGTTACCACCTCCAACACTCGAGGACGTCCACCCCTAAACCCCAGTTCCCGGGCGTATATCTTCTCAGGAGCTTATACACTCAAGACCTATTCTCTCTACGACCTATTCAATCTTACGTTGATGTTCTAGCGAGTACAACTCCTCCTACGCAACGCTACTAGGTTCCGTACCGCTACCTCCCCTACCTACGCCTTAGGGACCTCCCTGGACCTTACAGGAACCCCTTCAAGGGTCACATCTCTCAACCCCAGCCACTACTAGGCCATTCCCATCCTCGGTCATGGTTTCCGTAGCTCCCTTTGAGCTCCAGCCTGCTCCTAGCACGCTACAACATAAACTTATCATACCAAAACCTACCCTAAGACCTATTCTGACCCAGGTCTTACACCACCAACCTTTGTTGGCCTGAAACTCTTTAACCCTCCATGCTGACAAGGCTTGAGATTGCATCAACATTGACCCTTAATATGGTATGACTGACATCTGCAAATCCTGGTTTTTTGATGGATTTCCCCCCAGTGTTTCCCAGAGCAAGTTGAAATTTGACACATCTGTCAAGTGCTTGGGCTGCTGGGAATTGCTGGAGCTGCTCTAGCTGCTCTCAGACCGTTTGAGATATTAATAGTAGCAAAAAAGTGACACATCTGTCAAGTGCTTGGGTGTCAAGTCCATGCCTCGGGCCTCCATTCTGCTGCTCGGTACTCTGAAGATCCACTCTTATTGTAATCTCTTCTTATTGTTCTTTCTCGCTACACATACCCTTTCGTTCTAGTCTCTCCTTATTGTCTTTTACTCTACCCTGCAGGTACTACTCGTATAGCTCCTAGTAGTTAGTCTGGCGTTCCGCACCACTGCGCCGTTCCGTAGATATAAATACTGCCTGTACGCTACTGTAGTTCCTCAGTTTAATTATCAACTTAGATCAACTTAGATCTCCCTTCCAACTTAGCTCCTCTCTAAGTCTTCAGGCTCAACACCTTGAAGTACGTTCTACTCGACCTTAGGACTTGAACATTCTCTGGTCCGCTCCGACTTGGCTGCTACTTAGCTCCTCTCTCTATACTCTCGATCTCCGGGGACTAATGGCGTAACGGCGGTGTTGTTAATAACTTCACTACTGTCCCACTCTTCTTCCGCACTTAGACACCTTGTGGCCCTGGCATGGTTACACGGTGTACATGATCTTAACATTGGGCTGCTGGAAATTGCTGGAGCTGCTCCAGCTGTTCAAGATACATTAATAGTACAGTTCATCCATTGAAACAACAATTACAAGAAAACATCAAATAGTCAGTAGTAGTATGGTCTTTAGTTAAATCCTGCATTTTTATGCTAGGAGTAACACAAAAGTCTACTTTATCCAAAGCAAAAAATGTTTCTTTATTGAAGTATTTGTTTAGCAAAAATTCATCGCTGTGATACTGACTTGTACTTTTTGTTAAAGAAGGGTGAGGATTTCCTCGATAGAGAGGACAAATATCTGCAAAAGAACGGAATTGTGAAACAGGAATAATATCTCCCATAGGAGTCCCATCTGCTCTCCGAGCTCTCTTAAGGACATAAGATCCTGTGGAATAATCTGGATAGCGAAAAGGACAAGCTCTATAACAGGAAAGATGTTGATACTGCAGTGGAGGGGGTGGTTGATTCACTATATCTAAGTGTTCACAATAAGCCAAAAAACAATGAGTTCCTTCGATGGGTAGTAAAGGTCTTCTTGGCTGAGCCACAGTAAAAATCATTTTGACTAGAACTATAGCATGACCTAATGAATACAAGAATTTGAAAGCAATAAAAGGAAGTGATAAAAGGACAACTCACCTTCCAAAGAGCTTCCCGGCCACTGAAAGCTTTGATCTTTATGAACAACGACCGTGTTTTGGCGACCAAACTCCCAGCCAGGCCCTGGAGGTGCTGAGAATATGGTGTGAGGATCCGTAAGCAAATCTAGATTAAAATATGTCTGCTTTGGATTCACAGCCTAGACCAAAGCTTGACCCAGTAGAAGGGCAAAGGTGACTGTGTATTCCCAGTTCTTTTACCTCCTACAGTGAAAATCTTTGTTCCTGACTTTATGCAGTCAATTAAGTCTGAACAAGCCCCATGAAAATCTGACAGAGAATAGAGCCTACTCACTTCTTCAATTGTTTGTGTCGTTAGGTCAGGATCATGGACTAAGCTAAAGGCAGAGATTTCGCCTGTAACATTATTGACAAAAGAACGATGAGGAAGGGGTGCTGAGGGTGCTCTTTTAAGCAAACGAGCTTTCAGAAAAAAGTTCTGTTTAGGCCGAAAAGATCTGAATAACTTTTTTGAGACAGGATTAAGATGGGTGACTAGCTTTTCGGTCGACAATATTTTTGTGATCTCCAATTCTGTATCTTCTTCTTCGTCTACTTGTAACCCTTCAGCTCCCTGTTCTTGACCTTCATCTCCTTCAACATTTTCTAGACGGAAGTCTATGCTAGCATCCTTCATTGCTGTCATCAAATCAAACCTTCTAACATGGTCAAGACAATCCAGACTTCGACAAATCTGAATTTCAAAGTCATGATTGTTGCCAGATTGGGCTGGATCCTTTACTAGAGTGATATGAGCATGCTCCATGATGTCGGCAGTCCACTGCATGATAGAACCTGAAGCACAAATGCTGGGCTCCACACTTTGCATGAATTCGAGTTCCGGTATTTCCCAATGGTCTATTGATTTACCTTTAGGATTGACCCTAGCCTTTAGCTCTAAGATCACGGACTTGTTCTCATGAAACTCCTTCAGAGCAGTCTGGACTTGGAGGGAAGAAGCTTGGCTGAAACGCTGGGCTTGGCCTGAATAGCAAAAATCCAGGAGAGCACATAGAGCCATAACGAACTTGGCAGAAACAGCTCCCGATATGAAGGGAATCAGGTATCTCTGGATGTCTCAATGTGTACGTCCAGTGACCTGTTTAAGACCAGAGATGCCTTCTTGGAAATGACAATATCCCACAGTTGGCTGATGAATTGAAAACCTGAAGTCAATATGACTAGCCCCAACAGCCTGGATAGCCCATTTTGCGTTGTGATCCCAAAACATCTTATGCCAATGATGTAGAGGTTCAGGCGTAAGGAATTCGCAAGGCTCTGCTAATGCCCAATCCCTCCAAAAAGGATATACAACTCCGTTGGTGCGGGCAGTTACTGCTGCTCGTTAATGAGCTTGCCTCATTTTGTGTGAAAGAGAATGGAAGGAATCTAATGGGCACTCCAACCAACCAATCTAATACACAATATGCGAGTTCACTGCTATCAAATTTATTTAATAGCAAGGGGTAGCATTGTCAAAGGTTCCACAAAGCTTTGATCAATCAATTTGAATTGTTCTAAGGATTTGGTATATTCCTTTGATTAAGGTAGATTCAGCACAATTTGTGCTTTGATTGTATTGATATGGGTATATCAAGAATTGGGGGTTTGAATCAAAGTAAATTAAAACCGAAACACATAGACCCTTATGGAGGGCTAGAACTATGTGCTGGCACAACCACACAGCGTGATTTGCCCTCAAGACCAACAACTGATCCTAAGTTCGAAGAATACCCAACAACTGGATATACTTCTCATAGTCACAAGGAGCAGAACATGACGTTCCTATACTCACAAGTGCCGGGCCTGAATGGCTGCTAGCGAAGAGGTTTCAGTCTGGCGGGAGTGTGTCTTTCCTTTTTACGGATTAGCACTGCAATGTCGTCCCAAAATCACTTGTATTCCAGATACATCGGATTACTATTTATACATACAGAATATAGAGTCGCACAGTACAATTAATTTAATACAATAAACATTCGGAACCGCAAGGAAACTTCTACAATCGGTCAGATACCATTTAATTTGAATCTTCATGTCCTTATTTAGTCCATTATGGTTCCAAGATTCTAGTATACCTCCAAACATAGGTAGGTACTTCAATGTTCATTTTATTTAATTGTTTTGGAGAATGACTTGAATGGTGTTCAGCTGTCACTGCTGTTCAACACTTACTTTGATCGTTTGTCACCTCGTCCGGAGGCAAATCAACTCTCCTCGATTCTAATCCTATTAATCTGATTCATCTGGATTAAACTAATTGCTTCTCTCTTTCAATAGACACCCATTGTGTCTATACTCTATCAAGGGAGTTACGCATAGTATTCATTTAATTGCATTCTTCAATATTTTCTACGTCAGGACTCTTTGACATTCATTTGATATGTCTTCGGAGCCTCGCAGTACTTTGATCGTTCTTCTAGTCATTTTCCTCAACCATGCAACCTGATTGGTCTATTAGACTAAATCGCAGTCTTTTAGATTAATGCATGATCTCATTCTAGAAGGAGTATTTGATAATTCCTGAGTTCTAGAAAGTCATTTCGAGTCAATCCTCGGCTCATGGTCACTTGAGTAAGTTCTTCTAAACTCCTACCAGTGTAAGGTCCAATAAGAATACCCTTGGTATGTCATACATGAATGGTCATCCTTCGGATGTAGTCTGAGTCTGGTATAATCCTGCTTGACAAACAGGTAGACTGCTATCCAAAGGTAGTATTGGGGATGGGTAAACTAACCAACTTGTGGTAGTATGGGTATATGGTCCCTTCAACTTATTAGACTGATTCAGTATTGACTTTGACTGTCAATCTGGGTCTCAATTACAGTCCTCTTGATACAAATCTATACATGAAAATGTCACAATTCACAGCATAGACGTCTAGCCAAAATTTAGGCATGTCAGCGAGGCTCCAAAGACATATCAAATGAATATCAAAGAGTTCTGACATAGAAAATATTGAAGAATACAATTAAATGAATACTATGCATAACTCCCTTGATAGAGTATAGGCACAATGGGTGTCTATTGAAAGAGAGAAGCAATTAGTTTAATCCATATCCAGCTGTTGGGTATTCTTCGAACTTAGGATCAGTCGTTGGTCTTAAGGGCAAATCATGCTGTGTGGTTGTGCCAGCACATAGTGCTAGCCCTCCGTAGGGGTCTGTGTATTTCGGTTTTAATTTACTTTGATTCAAACCCCCAATTCTTGATATACCCATATCAATACAACTAAAGCACAAATCGTGCTGAATCTACCTTGATCAAAGGAATATATTGAATCCTTAGAACAATTCAAATTGATTGATCAAAACTTTTCCCTAGCTCTCAAAGCTTTGCGGAACCTTTGACAACGCTACCCCTTGCTATTAAATAAATTTGATAGCAGTGAACTCGCATATTGTGTATTAGATTGGTTGGTTGGAGTATCCATTTGATTCTTTCCTTTCTCTTTCACACAAAAACAAGGCAAGCTCATTACTGATGACAGGGAGCGGACCAAAGAGCCTTATCAGTCTTAGGGTCAGAGTAAGAAGTACTTCAAGGTGACGAGCCTGAAGACTAGAGAGTGACAAGAGTACAGAGGAAGTCTCAAGTTGAGGATATTAAGAGGATGATCTAAGTCAGTAATTAAACTGAGGAACTACTGTATCGTACATGCAGTATTTATATCTACGGAACAGCGCATCAGGGCGGAGCGCCAGTCTAACTACTAGGAGCTATACATATAGTACCTGCAGGGTAGAAAATAAGACAATAAGGGAGAGCCTAAGTCGAAAGGGAATGTGTAGCGGGAAAGAACAATAAGAATGAGATTACAATAAACAGTGGATCTTGGAATACTGAGCAGCAGAATGGGGCACTGAGGCATGGACTTGACAGGTTGCATGATTGAGGAAAATGACTAAAAGATGATCAAAGTACTGCAAGGCTCCAAAGACATATTAAATGAATGTCAAAAAGTCCTGACGTGGAAAACATTAAAGAATACAATTAAATGAATACTATGCACAACTCCCTTGAGAGAGTATAGACACAATGGGTGTCTATTGAAAACGAGAAGTAATTAGATCAATCCAGATAAATCAGATTAATAGGATTAGAAACGAGAAGTGCTGATTTGCCTCTGGACAAAATGACAAACAATCAAAGGATGTGTTGAGCATCAATGACAGATGAATACCATTGAAGTCATTTTTCCAACAATTAAAATTAAAAGAATACTGAAGTACCTACCTATGTTTGAAGGTATACTAGAAACTTGGAACCAATATGGGCCAAATAAGAATGATTGGATCCAAATTGAATGATCTGTAACTTATTATAGTAGTTTCCTTGTAGCTCTGAATGTTTATTCTATTAAATTAATTGTACTGTGCAATTCTGAATCCTATATGTATAGATAGTGGTTCAATGTATCTGGTTTTGGGATGATGTTGCAGTGCTAAACCATAGTAAGGAAAGATACACTGTTAAGATCATGTACACCATGAAGCCGTGCCAGAGGCCACAAGGTGTCTAAGGGCAGAAGGTCAAGTGGGGCAGTAGTGAAGCTATTAACAACACTGCCGTTACGCCGCTGACACGCCTAAATTTTGGCTAGACGTCTATGCTGTGAATTGTGACATTTTCACGTATAGATTTGTATCAAGAGGACTGTAATTGAGACCCAGATTGACAGTCAAAGTCGATACTGAATCAGTCTAATAAGTTGAAGGGACCATATACCCATACTACCACAAGTTGGTTAGTTTACCCATCCCCGATACTACCTACGGATAGCAGTCTACCTGTTTGTCAAGCAGGATTATACCAGACTCGGACTACATCCGAAGGATGACCATTCACGTATGACATACCAAGGGTATTCTTATTGGACCTTACACTGGCAGGAGTTTGGAAGAACTTACTCAAGTGACCATGAACCGAGGATTGACTCGAAATGACTTTCTAGAACTCAGGAATTATCAAATACTCCTTCTAGAACAAGATCATGCATTAATCTAAAGGACTGCGATTTAGTCTAATAGACCAATCAAGTTGCATGGTTGAGGAAAATGACTAGAAGAACGATCGAAGTACTGCGAGGCTCCGAAGACATATCAAATGAATGTCAAAGAGTCCTGACGTAGAAAATATTGAAGAATGCAATTAAATGAATACTATGTGTAACTCCCTTGATTGAGTATAGGCACAATGGGTGTCTATTGAAAGAGAGAAGCAATTAGTTTAATCCAGATGAATCAGATTGATAGGATTAGAATCGAGGAGAGCTGATTTGCCTCCGGACGAGGTGACAAACGATCGAAGTAAGTGTTGAACAGCAATGACAGTTGAACACCATTCGAGTCATCCTCCAAAAACAATTAAATTAAATGAATATTGAAGTACCTACCTATGTTTGGAGGTATACTAGAATCTTGGAACCAATATGGACCAAATAAGGACATGTAGATTCAAATTAAATGGTATCTGACTGAGTGTAGAAGTTTCCTTGCGGTTCCGAACGTTTATTGTATTAAATTAATTGTACTATGCGACTCTATATTCTGTATGTATAAATAGCGATCCGATGTATCTGGAATACAAGTGATTTTGGGACGACGTTGCAGTGCTAATCCGTAAAAAGGAAAGACACACTCCCGCCAGACTGAAACCTCTTCGCTAGCAGCCATTCGGGCCCGGCACTTGTGAGTATAGGAACGTCGTGTTCTGCTCCTTGTGACTGCGAGAAGTCTATCCAGTTGTTGGGTATTCTTCGAACTTAGGATCAATCGTTGGTCTTAAGGGCAAATCACGCTGTGTGGTTGTGCCAGCACATAGTTCTAGCCCTCCGTAGGGGTCTGTGTGTTTCGGTTTTAATTTACTTTGATTCAAACCCCCAATTCTTGATATACCCAAATCAATACAAACCAAAGTACAAATCGTGCTGAATCTACCTTGATCAAAGGAATATATCAAATCCTTAGAACGATTCAAATTGATTGATCAAAGCTTCGTACTTAGCTCTCAAAGCTTTGCGGAACCTTTGCCAACGCTACCCCTTGCTATTAAATAAATTTGATAGCAGTGAACTCGCATATTGTGTATTAGATTGGTTGGTTGGAGTGCCCATTAGATTCCTTCCTTTCTCTTTCACACAAAAACGAGGCAAGCTCGTTATCTGGAGCCCACCGCGAGGGGTGGTTTTGAAGCTACAATTAGCTTGATAAATTAAATTGAACGTTTGT